CTGTCTCCGAGGCAGTCTATGATAGATTTTATAGGGTTTGTCTAGATGTGATGTCCCAGCAATACTCTCGTAATGCCAGATAGCACCATGTCTGTCTTTTTTCATCCTTTTAGTGGTCATTACCTGACTCACATTATCTCGGAGACAGCTGATAACACTTTTTTTCATTTGATTGAGATATAGCGGTACTGCATAATATGAATTTTCTTGGGAAAGTGCTAATCTAGGTAACTGATCAACTCTGTCACATAATAATATTCCTGTATGAGAGGGTATTCAGTACAGTGACACTTGAGTACCCTGTTCTGATAATTTAGAAATTTGGCGAAGGATATTTCTAGTTACCATGTTTTTTGGATTAAATGCAGTGAGCTTATAGAGACCGTCTTGGCTGTCAGTAAAGACAGCCAGGTGTCGCTGCTGCTCACTACCATTCTTAATGGCATGATATATGGATACTAACTCGGCATCAGTGTTGTCCAGTTGGAAATACACACACTTTCTTCAAGATCTATATCAGGAATTAGTACACTAATCCCTGCTGCTCCATGAGGATCAGTGGAGGCATCACAGTAGATTGCAAGTGAGGCGTACCATGAGGGGGATGTAGAATGCTATCTATATATTTTAAAGTAATGAGCTTTTAGTTCCGTTTTTGTAGCCATGCGTTTAGGCCCTATTAGTTTATTAATATGAGCATATACATGAGTTCTGTGCCAAGGAGCAGTAAGTACTTTTTTCTGGAATATTAATAGCTTCGTTGCTCAATGCATTGAAGGACATAACTGTACAAGCAGTTTTAGTTTTCCATTCTAAATTGGACTGTATGAGACCATAGTATCGAGGCCGGACATGCCTAACTCTATCATTTCTCATTTGATAGAATATTGGAGATTTGTGGTCTGGGTAGAAGCTGCTGGGCGACACGACTGTGAATAGAGGGGAGTTCTAGCTCTTTCCTCATGACGAGAACTTTAGCAGTCACTGGGCATCCAAGTATAATTCTCATGGACTTGTTTTGGACAACTTCAAGGGGTTTGAGGGCACTCGTGGAGTCAATTGATTCTGAAAAAAAAGATCCCTAGCTAAGTGCGGGTTTTTCCCCAAGAGTCGTAGCTGACTTACTGTAGATCGTATGAGCCTTCTTGGAAGTTTTATCTCAGGGTCTTTGTTCAGTTGTGCACGTCTGCCTCTACAGGATAAAGATTCGTGCTTGGCAGAACTTTTAGGCTATAGTTAAGTAATGGTAATGTCAACTTAATGACAGAGAGTTTCATTAAAGTGATAACGGCTGGTAGGAGTAAAGTCGTCATACCAACAGACAATTCTTTCGTTAGTAGCAAGGTGGTATCGTGGCTGGGGTGGGGTTCTTTTGCAAAAAGGAAGGGTTATACTTAATGCCCAGTGATCACTAAGAATGGAATGACTTTCGTTGATTGTATAGAGCTATATAGTCCTTTTTTCTAAGGGGTACAGTAGGTATATGGGCTCACTAGTATGTTGTTACTTCCTTCGGAGCCTAGGAGAGGATGGTGGGCATTAAAATCTCCACACAGTAAGATAGTGTATCATGCACTTAGGAGGTTTAGGTACCACCTCACTATCGTGTGGATTATATACAATAATGAGGGTGATAGATTTACCGTCAAGAAATATTTTAATACTAAGATATTCAACACGGATGCTGTCACGTTTGTCAGCAATCACTTTCAATGGAATTGAGCTCTTTATGTAAATGCCAAGCCTTTTCGTAGAGGGATTAACAATATTTGTTCTGTCATAGTATGTGCATCCCGCATTTTTTGCATAACGAGCACTAGTTCTGACTATCTGAATGCAACACACATCAAAATTTTCGGAGTGAAATTACTGGGAGATATTTTAAGAGATTACTTTGAGGCATTGATTACTTGACCATTTCCAAGGCCCACTTCAGGGTGATGTTGTTGATCGAGGAGGAACGTGAACATCCTTTCTTGAAGTTGCTGAACCATATGTTATTGTGTCATGAACATCTGCTCCATCTGCCGAAATAGCATTTATAGCAGATTCTTTAATTCTCCGTTGGACTCTTGTTTGTCTTACTGCAATGAGAGCTGAGCTGCAGCTGGTGCTGCAATTGATGCAGAAGCTACTGTAGCAGATGGTGCTAGGGTTGGTACTATAGCTAGTGCTAAAACTGTTGCTTGTGCTTAAGTTGACGAGGCTTGGTCCATGACTGCCTGCTTTTGTTTACTATTTGTTTTCCTGTCCTTTGGGTAGTAAGCACACAATGGAGAATTGGCACTATGCTCTTGTCGGCAGTTCACGTATTTCCAAGGGACATTTTCTCCTTCGGAAATCTTTTCTCCGTGTTCCGTGGCTCTACTTTGAACAATTAAAGCAAAACATGGCAGGGATTTGAAGTCGGCACACCTAAAGGGTGCCGTGCCCTCAACCATGTTAATAGTTTTGGGGATTACCTCCCCATCAAACGTTATGATGACTCTGGATCATCATT